GGCTAATTTTATCTTGATTAAAGTTTATTTCTTTAATTAATCTTAATCAACTAGGATAAATTATCTTAATTTCTTTAATTAGTCTCAATCCATATTAATGGGAATTGGTAAAATTCACACTTTTCTTATTGTCCCACATCTTTCTTAATCTGTTCACTTTAGTCCCTTACTTTTAATTCGTTCCAAGTCACCATTCTTATTTCTGATAACATTCAATTGAGTCTTAGGTTTTGACAAAATCTTTCAATCTCACCCATCCTTTTTGAGTTAAGTTAACTAAGGTCTTATATAGGAAACAAGTTGAAATAAACTCCCTAATTTTAAAGTATGGAACCAAGTTTTTACACGGAGAGGATTATGAAGTGCACTCACGTCCTTCCTCACTCCTAATCGTACCGTTGAGTCTTGATCTCTTGTAGACCATTGGTAACCTATTCCACTTTATTTGAGTAGGTGGCGACTCCCATTTTGGCCATTAAAACTTAATTTTTCAAGATAATATAATTCTTGAAATTTTAAGTAAAGGTGCATCAACAATTTGGCAACTCCACTGCAGATTGAATCTAGAGTAAGAATCTCTGAATTTCATATTCTAGATTCACTAGGGGTGACCTAATACTTTAAATTTAGGGAATTTTTGACTTTCCTATCTTTGAGTGGTGAAGCCTTGTTTGAGTCTTTTGTTAGGTATTTTTATCGTTTTGCCCATTTGCACATCTAACCCATGCTATGTCATTCATCATCTTTTGCCATGTTCATGCCTCATTACATTACATATACATGCATCATACCTCACATATTTTGCATTATGCACATTCTTGACATGTTTATTTGTTTGTTTGTGAGTGCACTAACCGATTGCACTTGGTAACGAAGTATTAGGTGAATTTCTACCCGCCGTGTACTTAGATTTGGTTGTGACTATGTTTGTCATTTTGCATGCCATTAATATTTTATTGTGATATCAGTTGGGGGCGCAACAAGCTTAAGGTAGCTTGCATTTGCACCTCTTGCTTTAGCTGCTTTATTTATCTTCTTTCTTTTTTTTTGGGTTGCGATAACTATTTAATTTCTATATATTTTTGTTCTTATGAGATATTGTTGCTTTTGGCTCAATATGAGGGGACTCTTTCTTTAATTAATTACGTTAATTAATTTAAACTAACATTAATTCATATTTGTTTAAATTAATCTAGTTAGCAAGCAATGGAGTCCGGCCAAATTTCTGTGGAGATTGTTGAGCTGCCGCTTGAAAATCCAGCTTCGGAGTCACCAACGAAGGATGGCACTGGTGATAATAGTGAGGTTGTGAGGTGCTCCTCAAATGCTTCCTTACAATGCACTCAAAGACCACTTTGGAGACACAGTAGCTTGTTAAAGGTTAAGACTAAGTCGAGGATGATAGACCATACAGTTGGAAATTTTGTGGAAGAAGAGGAGGAGCAGGATCAGTTAGTTGAAAAGGACTTAAAGAGAAAAAGTCTATGGGTTTTCCTCCAATGGGTGGGTTTTATTTTGATAACTATGGCTTTAATCTCTAGCCTTACACTTCCAAGTTTAAGAAAGAAGAATTTATGGATATTAGGTTATGGAAGTGGGAAATCTTGGTTTTGGTAATTATATCTGGGAGGTTGATATCAAGTTGGATTGTTAGAATAAAAGTGTTCTTCATTGAGATG